CTAGGCTTTATTCAGCAACTGGTCGGCACGCGCCTTGCTCTTCGAGAAGTCAGCCATTGTGTGTGTGTCCTTGCGGTACGGGTCGTAGTCGCTCCCGGGAGCAACTGGGCCTGTTGATCTTTTGACCGCTACTGAACGAGCCTGCCACCAACAAGAGCTGGGAATTCTCTCTGCGGAACAAAGAGAGAGGCGTGCTCTAGATTCGTAAAGGAGTGGGCTGTCACGGAAAGGGTGTGGGGGCGGGGCAGGGGCGGAAGGGAATTTAACGGGGGGCACGTGGGGACGTGGACACGTGGATGGCAGGTGAGGGGCAACAGGAGGCATGAGATAGGCATCGCGGGACGCGTGGTGGATGCCGCGGCGAGGTTGTGCATCGCTGGAACAGAGTGGTGTCCATGGCCCTGAGGCCCTCACCAACTGGGGCAACTGCCTTCGTGCCTCACGCAACAGGTGCTGCATGCAGGCAACTACGCCATCCCGAATCACTTTCGACCCCGATTACCTCGCCCGCATCTACCTCGCCCGTATTGCTCATCGCCCTGCATCTCCTCGACACAAATTACAAACAAGGAATAGGTGGTTTAGTTGACAATGTCTACGATACGCCTCACTACAAGTCCCACACAAATCGCCTAACAAACCTAACAAACCCTACACACGCTTCCGGCCCCCCTCTCGTCTCGTCCGGCCACACCTCTAGATCGCCGCCCGCCCTCTCCCCCAAAACTCTCTCCTCTGCCCCCTCTGCTAAAATTACACATTCCAAGCCGCCGCCCCCCACCTCCCACCGCCCCTCTCACAAGCTCAGCGAGCTCAGCAGCAGCTCTCTGACGTACGCTGCGCGCACCTGCGCACGCGCCGAGTCGCGGAGCCCGTGCACGCGGTGCGGTCGCGGCGGCTCGTCCGCGGACAGCGCCCCGCTCAAAATCACGCTGCCGTCGCGCGCCTCCAGGTCTGCATGGTCTGACACGGAGCACGTGGGGCGGCTGACGGAGGACGCGGTCTCGGACTGCGCGGCGCCGACCTCCAAGTGGCATGCCTCTGC